CGTATGTACTACATACATATATATATATATATTATATATAATAATGTAGCATTAAATAAAATAAATAAATAATATTTAAATAATATTAAAATGACCAAAGTCTAGTTCAAAGAGAAATTTATTGAATTCCGATATATAATACATATAAGTACATAAATATGTAGATAAATAATATTGATATTAAATTAAATAAACAATATTAAATAAATAGTATTTAAATACTATTAAAATAATTACCTATGTCTAGATCAGATAGAAGTTCATTGAATTCTCTGAAGGAGACTGTCCCATCACAATTTCTATCAAAGAGCATCAGCGTTTCTTTTAAACTCAAGTCAGCACTCATTATTGACTCAAATACCTGAAAAAAACAAACAAAAAGATAATTAAATAGATTAATAATTAAATAAAATAATAAAAGGCACTTAAAAATTAATAATTATTCGTATCTATAATGCTCATTATTGGTTCAAATATCCGAAAGATAAACAAAAGATAATTAAAGTAATAATAAACAATAAAACAAATAATAAATAAACAATAAACAAAAACAATAAAGCAAATAATAATTAAAGGGAAGAACAAACAGAGCAACATAATTAAAAGAATAAGCAAGCAATAAAATAAGAATATATTTAATTAAACATAGAACACGAATATATTTAATTAAACATAAAACAAGAATATATCTAACTAAACACAATACATAAATATACTTAATTAAACATAAAACAGGAATATATTTAATTGAACACAAAACAAGGATATATTTAATTAAACATAAAACAAGAATATATTTAATTAAACATACCCTAGCAACGCATTCTTGTCTCCAATTGAGATGCTTGCAATTAGGCGGTCTGAAGTCAACTTTATAACGATATAAAAATTCATTATAATGCACAAACCCGTCTTCATCAACAGCTTTTAAGCACTTCATTATATTCACCCATGGAAGCTCCTGCCCCAATACAATCGAACAAGCCTCTCTGTACAAACACGCAGCAGCAGCAGCAGTAGCAGCAGCAGCAGCAGCAGCAGCAGCAGCAGCAGCAGAAGCAGCAGCAGCAGAAACACAAGATGCAGGTCAGTTACACTTTTCAGATGCAGAAGAGCTAAACCCTAAACAATAAAAAATGAATATACCATGAGCTCAAATATTCAATACGGCAAAACCCTTATCTAGGGTTCAGGGTTTACAGTTTAGGGTTTTTAGGGTTTCAGGTTTAGGCAGTTCAGGGTTTAGGGTATTCAGGGTTTAGGGTGTTCAGGGTTTGGGGTATTTACGCTTTAGGACTTCTATGGTTTAAGGGGTTTTAGGGTTTAGAGTGTTCAGGGCTTAAGGGTTTTTAGGGTTTAGGGTTTATTAAGGTTTTTTAGGGTTTAGGGTTTTTAGACTTTAGGGTTTACTAGGGTTTAGGGTCTTAAAGGGTTTAGGGTTTATTAGGGTTATGTTGGGCTGTAAGTACCTCCACTGTGCTGGAGTAATTTTGCCGGCTCCCTCAGCATCCATGTTGAAGAAACACCACCAAAGATCTTGTTTTTTTTCGCATACCATTTTGCACATTTTTTGAACAATTTCTTGACTAAGTCTGGCTGCAGCGCTTCTTCGATTAGCTCTTTTTGTTTGCGTTTCCAGTTCTTTCATTTTCTTTTGAAGTAATACTTTCTGAGTAGCTAAACAGGTCTCTCTATGAAGCTGCTGAATCTCTTGCAAAGACGGAGCCATGTACTCTTGAATTTCAAAAGATAAATTCGCCTCAAATATTATCACTCCACCGTAATTACCAGTTGTCCCGCAGTAATTTGATGCAGAAAATAATGTTACACAACGCCCGTCGTGCACAGGTTCAAACCCACGTAAATTCGTTGGGACCTGCACATATACACCCCAACAAACAATTCATCTACTTCTATATATAGAAATATATATTTGTATAAACACGCAGATATACTATGAAACTACGCATATATATATATATATATAGGCGTATAGATGGATATATAAACGTGTGCAAGTCTAATCAGCATGTGCCTATTATACTATATATATATATATATGCATATGCATGTATATATACTATGCATGGTGATATGATTCGATATGTGCATGTGCATCCATAGATAAATGCATTAATGTGCATGACCACACATCTATTTATTTGCGTACGTACATATGTATGTGTAAATATATATACTTGCACATATATATATAGCACATGTATATATATATAGTATATGAATATAATAATGAACGGACTTGATGTGATCGAATGCAAACTTCTAGGTTATTTTTTGTGAGGAATGCATCGGTAACGTCGGGCCCAAAGGCAATGCAATCAGCGCCTCTTGTACTCCAGCCTCTCCCTCTATCCGGTTGAGGGTCAGCCCAAAGAAGATCAAACATAAGAGTATCTTCAAATGAATGAGGAGAGGCAGGGCAAGGTCTCTGCCTGTGGAGTTTGTCAATATGATGAAGTGTAATATTATCTTTTCTACAAAGCCCCCCGTGCACAATAAAAACCCTCTTCTCTAGAACCACGCATAAAGGTAATAAATGAAATATATCTTGAAATTTTTGATATAACAAACCCCCATACTTTTGTCGCACCTCTTGTGCAAACCCATACACCTCATTCATATCTGCACTTTCATGATTACCTCGGTTTATTATAACACTACCAGGGCAATTCAATTTAAACGCAAACAGCAACAAAAATATCTCAACAGCGCTGCGACCACGGTCTGCAATATCGCCATTAAACAAATACCTAAAAACAGAAACAAATCAGCAAAACAAACGCAGCACAGCAAAAACACAGTATATATAGTGTACATGCATATGCGAATATCTATATACATATTATATTACATATTATACACGTGTTAATAAACATTTATGTATAAAAATACAAGACGGGAAACATATGCATTAAAAACAAACAAGAGAAACAAAAAAACCAAACAAACACGAATAATAAGACCTTGCATCAAACTAATGCAACGAACAGAAGAAACAGATAACAACGACGCAAACAGCAGCAACGCAATTACTCAATCAACCCAATTAATTAATTAGAGGCAAACAACGCAAAAGAAATCAACAAAACGAACAAAATAAACGAAGCACCCTAAACAGACAAGGGGAACAAGGCAAGCAGAACAAACAAAGCAAACAAAACAAGCAAACCAAACGAACAAATCAATCAAAAAGAAGAGAAAACAAGAAAAAGATTTACTTACACGTTAGTTGCAGAAGGGGGGCCGAATTTGTACAAAATCCACAACACGTCGTTGAGCTGACCGTGGGTATCTCCTACTAGCTGCAGAAAAAACAAAAAGAAATAAAACAATAAACAAATAATAATAAGGGAAAAGCAATAAAACGAATTGAAACAACAGGCAAATAATAACAAAAGAAAAGCAATGCAAAGGGTTAAAGCAATAAGAAAATAATAACAAAAGAAAAGCAAAAGAATGAGCAAACCAATAAGCGAATAATAACAATGCATTATAAAGAGAGAAGCAGATGCATATACTATGAATATGGGTATGCATCAAATAGAAAGAAAGACAAGGATATATATCTATATCAATATACATATATATATATATATATATACCGCAGCATCATCATATACAAGGCGAGAGGCGTGGGTGTATACAGAAACACATCTCTCTCTAGATATTATATATATATATATACGTACACTACATACAAAGAGAAGAAAGAAAATATAAAGTAAATATGCATGCATATGGATTGATTGAATTGCAAGTAAAGATTGCGCATACGCATGCATTTAGCGTCTTACCACAAGACGACCACCAGGCTTTTTAGGGATTTCCACTTCTGCTACTGCTCCTTTCATGGTTTGTTTATAATGTTCTTCAACAGCCATCACCAACTCCAAAGCATATTTACGAGGCAAAGGCACCTAAAAAACAAGAAAGAAGAAACAAACAAAGACAAAAAAAGAAAGTCAGCAGTCATCACCATACAAGCAGCTCTTTGCTTGTATAAACAAGAGAAACAAACGAAGACAAACAAGAAGCAATATTCTCCATACAAAAAAACAGAAAAATCTCTGGCAGCTACACCGCAACCCAACGAATAAAATGAAGTGCAGCTTCGTCTTTGTTTAGAGGCAATTAAAAACATACACCTTAAAAGCAATAAAGCAAAGTATACTACGCGGAAAGCCAGGAGCTGGAGAGCAGCAGGAGCAACAGCAACAGCAACAGCAGCAGCAGCGGCACGAGCGGTAGTAACGACACGAATAGAAACCACAGAAACAGAAGTAATAGCAGCCGCCAATAAAACAGCAACAGGAAAAGCAGACGCAACAGCTGCGAGAATAGCAGCGGCAGCAAAAGAAGCACCAGAAGCAGAAATAATAGCAGTAGTAGAAGCAGCAGGAGCAGTAGCAGCAGCAACAGCAGCACGAGAAACACCATCAGCAGCAGAAGCAACGGCAACAACAGTAGAAGCAACAGCAGCAGCAGTAGCAGCAGCAATAGCAGCAGCACAAGAAACACCATCAGCAGCATAAGCAACGGGAAAAAGAGCAGAAGCAACAGCAGCAACAGCAGCAACAGCAGCAGCATACATCTGGGTGTTCTCTGAAGTGGTCAATAAGGTCGAGAGCGAATTCTCTGGTGATGGGCCAAGTTAAGTGCGGCCCCGAATAACCGGGGGGTATTCCTTCTTCTGCTATTGTAGAGGCATCAATACTCTGGCGTTTCTGAAATAAAAGAACAGGAAAAGAAATAAATGTTCTTATTCAATCAAAGAAAAACGCCTCACATGTACAGACACGCAACCCGGCTTGCAAAAGCACACAGGTACTCTACCCAAACACCCAAATATATATACATACACATTATATATATATATATATATATATATATATATCGGGCTCTTGATGCGAGTCCGCGAAGTCACAGGACAAGAAAGCCGGTAAAGCAAAAGGGAGTTAAAAAAATATAAAAACAAAAAGCATGCAAACATCAAACGAAGAGAGCATACACCTACTCGAGTAGATGATCTTCTTCTAGCCATTCTGCCTCCAGGTGCTGTCGATGCTGCTGCCCCCGGCACCTGCAAAGTTGATGAAGAGGTGTGGGGCCGTTCAGCGGGAACCTCTTGCAGATCTAAGAAGTCTTCATCATGAATTTGCTTCTTTATTGTGTTCAAAGTAGGAGTACCCACGTCCCTAAGCAAACAAATAAATAAAAAAATAAATAATAGCAAACATATTTGCATATCCATCTTGTAATTCAATTCAATACTCAGATGCAACTCCACCGAAAAAAACAAACAAGCCATCCACAACACCGCAGCACAGGGGCATCTGCTGCACCTGCAACAACTGCTGCTGCAGCTATCTGTGGCGGCTCTGCTACAGCTGCAGGGGATTCGGCATCGGTAGTAGCAGCTACTGCCAAGAAGCAGCAGCAGCAGCAGCAGCGGCACCAGCAGCAACATTAGCAGCAAAAGAAGAAGATGCCATCTGCATGGCTTCGGCTCTGTACAGTGCAGCACGGCACGAAAGTGCAGCGGCTTGTACGCATACATATGCCTCAAAATAGGGTATATACACCCGAAATAAGGCAAGCAGGGTTTGCTGTTTGTAGACTTGCCTGTTGTTCACCAGTGCGTCTTTCTCCTCAAAGTGATCCAATTCATTCCAAAAGCGAAAAGCTGCCAACTCTTGAAATGTTTCTGCTGCGCGATGGCGCCTGTAAGATGTTTGAATTCGTGTCGCTGCGCACGTCTCCTCTGCATACACCCCAAAACATACCCTAAACCGAAGCATGCATGCATGCGCAAATGCATGCATGCGTGCACGTCTAAATGCATTCACGCAGTTTCAAACAAACGCCCCCGCTACCATGTGCAGCCTTAGTCTAGTCTATCGCTGCACGGCGCCTGCACGAAAACTCGAGCAGGCAGGTAGAGGCGGGCCATTGGGTGATCTGAATGCCTCTGCTGCATGTATTGCTGCAAAGAAGGTGCGCTGTATGTGCACTGGAATTCAAGAAAAGCTCGCATTCAGATTTATGCTGGATTATTGTTCAGAGTCTTACTGCTGAAGGGCTTCACTGAAAAAGCGCGAACCAAACGGCCCATGCCTGGGGCACACTGGAAGTAGCGATGGCCATGGTAAGTGCCATCGCAGTTGCCAATACCTCTCTTATGAAATTCAACACCAACAACAGGCCCTGAAAGATGCGCTGTTCCAGTGCTTCCTCCCTTAGGCGGGGGGAAGGTGCCCACATACTTCACTGTTGCAGGAAAGCCGTAAACAGCCACCTTGTCTCCCACCTTGACTGTCATTTTGGATTCAGAAGACAACTCCTGGGCCCTCAATGCGAAATTCAACAGGCGCGGCTAGAGGCGGACCGGGACGGCGGTGGCTGCAGCTGCAGCTGAGGATTAGCGAGAGATCCCTGGAAGTAATGCAGCAAGGAGGCGCTCGGCATTAGAAAAATAAACCGGAAAAGGAAGGATGAACACCAAGAAGGCCGGAATGATACTCCCTGCGCTCACGCATATTTCAGGGCGCCAGGAAACGCTGTCACTGTGAACGAAACAAGAAGAAGACCGCTGTGTTGTCAACGCGCAGCAGCTTTAATAACTCTTTGCTTTGGCTCTGCTGCCTGTAATTTCTCTCGTTCCCACTACCCGTACAGGGGCACATAGCGGCTGACGAGCTTCCGGGTGTACCTCCAGCTGCGAGTTCACCGCGCAGCGCCCTCGAAAAACAGTCAAAATGCGCCTTTAAAAGCAGGATAGACACTCAATCAGGAAGTAATTGCCTTAAACCGAGTCCTCAGAAGGAATTCACTGCAAAAGCGCTCGGCTACGGGGCCCTCTCCTGCCGCAGCGAGCCTCTAGAGGAGCAAGCCGCGCTAGGTTTCGCGCGTGGCGCAGCGGAATACGTATGGGAAGCTAACAGTTTTTCTCGTTTTTCGACGGAATATCAACTTTGCCCGAGGTAATAATGCAAAGTATTCAAAGAAAAACGAAACCGATCGCTCTATGTTCTACAAACCGCCTCACAGCCCCGATTTGGGGGCCGCAGCGCCACTCATGCCCACAGCGCCGCAGGTTCGATAAGGACTCAATTCGTTACAGTTTGCATTGAGGTTCATGTGCAGACAACGAAAGAGAGAGTGCACCTGCCAGCGATCCCAACAGCATTCTCCTCCTCAATTGGCTAAAAATAGCATCAATGCACTTCCCACTCTGTTTCTGAGGGGCGATTTGAGCGCAGCGACACCGCAGGCGGCGCATCAACAGCACGGCACTCCCGAAGTATGCATCTTATGCCTTGTACTTTCAAGTGAGAGTTGCGCAACGAGGGAATGTCACTTCACACATGTGTGTGCATCGCGCAACCGTCCAGTGGACTGGCTGTTGATTTGTAGGGTAGTCAGTGCGCTCGATCTATGGTGAGGATTGTCTTGGGCTGCAAAGGAGGCAAAAAAGTTTAGATAAGAGTCTCCCAGAAGCAGCTGGTAGCCTTTCCTCTAGACCGCTGGTGCCCTGACACAGCGGCCCACGGGGCTGAGGCTGGTGCGGAGAGGAGGGGGCCTTGGCCATCGCCCATAAAGTGCCTCGCTGCAACTAATACTGCAGGGCAAGGCATCCCCACGTGCAAGCGCAATCCAGCCTCCCTTTCTGCATGCACTAGCGCTGTAGACAATAGTTATACATGTACTTGCCCGCCGAGATCCATCCTGCGCTGCAGTAGAAGCATATGGACTGTAGGTTTGTCTGTGTGAGGTTGGTACGTGCATTTCGAGTTGCTTGCAGGGTGGCTCTGAAGAGCCAACAAAGTGTTTACAATTGACTACAGTGCTAGAGCATGCAGCAGAGTGGGTGCGGTTGTGATTGCACGTGGTGTTCCTTTGCAGCATGCGTGACAGTGGAGTGCGTTGTCGCTCCACGCAAGGCGCCTCTTCTCAGCCCTTGTCCTCGACCCTTTGCTGCTGCCCAGCATGCTTGGGGACTGCAGAGGAGCTTACCAGCAGCTTTGGGGCGACTGTTTTCTACAGTCTTTGACTCTACTACAGTTCACATTCTCAGCTAGAATCAGGCATTCTTTCTGCACTTTGTAGCACCGGAAGCTTGAACGGGGGAGATGCGAGCAACAAGCTGGCATCTGCGGGCACAGCAAGGAAACCTGGAGCATTGCACATATTACTGGCGAATGTGCTGTGGAAACATAAACCCCGGCTTGGGTAAAATCCATCAAATCTTCAGTCCTTTTTTCTCCCCTTGCATTATAGGCAATCACCAGGGTCTGCTACGGGTGGGGAAGCAACCAACGTCTGGAAGCCTTGCCGGTTTGAGGCCAGCGTAACGTCAGCACCCTGAAAAACTGAACACGTTTTTACAGCCACAGAAACGTATGGAGAATGCCTATGCTTTTCCCGGCTGTCTTGCTGGGCACTGCAGCATGTTCATCATTTGACTCCGTTAACTCGCTTTTGCATATTCCAGTGCATAACCGATGATAGGCGCTAGACTGGACTCCACAGCCCTGGCAAACAAGAGGACACGCGTATGCACTTTGGGCTCGTGAGTGCACCAGTTTAACTGCAGCGAGAGGTCGCTCACGATTTCTTAGGGCAACGACGGTTGGACGGTTATATGCACAGACAAAGTACGTGTGTTCAGCTGGAATGTGCAGGGACGGTAAAGGCGCCTACGGCTTACTCCCCAGAACTGCTACGGCAGGGACAGTGGTTCATGAGAGCGCGCAAGTGCTCTATCTTCATGCAGACAAATAGCTTCTTAGGCCTTTGTGTGCCTGCAGCAGCTGTTGAACCAGTCCCGGTATAGAGGCCAGTAGGAGTTGGCCAATACCTTGGTACAGTTGCGTGGAAGTTTTGAAGTTTCACGGTTGCGCACCGTACTACCGCAACCCCGTTTCTGAATTCGGTCTCATCGTCGCCTCCCTAAAGGACCTACTGAAGATTGGCAAAAAGGCGCAATTGCCAGAAGCCTACTAAGACGGCTGATACCATTTCCAGTTTTGGCGTTCCCTAAATTCAGCAAGCCCTGCTTCCTAACAACTGATTCCAATGACAGAGAAGTTGGGGTGATGTGTGACAGAGAAGTTGAGGTGCTCCCTCAGCAAGCCAACGACTCAGAAGAAAGGCCCCAAACAGGCGCTTGATAATCAAGCCATTCAACAGAAAGAGAACGCAAGTATCAGAAGTGTCCGGCAGGTGACCAGGAGCTCAACATGGTCTGGTGGGGAGTAAGAAAGTGTCCGCATTACTTCTAGCTGGCCCTTTACCATTCAAACTGATTCTCAATCCCCGACATGCCTGAGAAAGAGCATGCAACACTACAGTAATCAACGAGTCGTCCGGTGGCATCCCCTGCTCTCGCAGTTTCCCCGTCCACAGCGCCACATTCGCAGTCTGATTGCCCGCTGTGAGCCTGGTGCTTGCTACTCAGCCAGACTTTGTCGCCCACCGCATACTCCACTTCGCGGCGGTGGGTGTCTGAGTAGTGCTTTTGCTGACCTTTTGCCTTCAGGATATGACGCTGCGCCCGGTCGCAGAGCTGGCGAAAGAGCTTGGTCATCGGTGGAGTAAGGGTAGCGGAGAGGGCACCCACGACATCGAGATCCGCTGCAGTCAGGGGGTTCTTACCAATCATGACCTCGAAGGGGGAAAGCTCAGTGGAAGAATGGCTAGTGGTGTTGTACGCGAGCTCTAAGGCAGGTAATAATCGCCTCCATTCGCGTTCATCAGATTGACTGTAGGTGAGGAGCATTTGTGCGAGCGTGCGGTTTACTCGTTCAGTTTGGCCGTCGCTCTGGGGGTGGTACGAGGAGGATAAGGCGCGTTTGATGTTAAAACGCGTACACAGCTGCTGCCATAGATCTGATTGGAAACGTGGATCACGGTCCGAAATGAAGGCCTCTGGTAGCCCATGATAACGAATAAGGCGACCGGCGAGAACATCCACTGTATC